CGATTTGGGGATGTGGGGGGTCTTAGGGTTTCTGTTTTCTTAATTTTATATTGTAATCTGGTATAGCGCACACACACTAATAATAACGCACCCTCACACCACAGCCACCAGATCACGATCACACGACCCACATGCCGCTGCCCACGATAACCCGCTACGCCCCACACACTGGATTCGTCCGCCTCACTTAATCAACCCATTTAACCGTTCAATTACCCCTCTTAATCAACACTTAACCTTTTTTTTTTAAAATAAATCAACCCTTTTATTAAAAATTAACTTTTTATTTTATTTGTTAATTATTTTTTTAATTAGATCTTTTCTCTAATCTTTTTTTATTTAAAATAAACTAATGACTCTTTTTCTAAATAAACAATATGTTTTTTAAATTAACCTTTCAACAATAATAAAAAACTTTTTTATCTAGAAATTAACTTCTGACTTTTATGGTAATCAAGGTTTTTTTTTAACCTTTATATAAAAAACATTTCATAATTAACAAATAACAAAATATTCTATGACAATCTATTTAATTTTTTATCAATAAGAATAACCTTTTATAAATAAATAAAATTTATTTAACTAAATCTATTTTAAGAAAAAATCACTTTTTGTTTAAGAATCTTTTCTTTAAGATTAAGAACTTAATCAATTCACATCTAAAAAAAAACCCTTTTATTAATAAAGCTAATTCAACATTTCTCTTAAAATTAATCTCCCCTAAGATAAATATAACTTCTTAAAACCAATTCCAACTTCCCGCTTAAAATCAATTCAACATCAACTAAATTAATCATTTCATATGAAATCAATCCTACAAATCAATCTCTTGCATAAAATTCAATCGTGCACGCTTGCGCCTCTCTCCATCCGTTCGCACATTCACAATTCACTCACCTACACCTTAGCTTTTTCATGCATGTGTATGGCTTTATTTTCCGCAATTCATCTTTCGCAATTTAAACATTACCGCAATTTATATTTCCGCCTTGCATTCCGTCCAAAGGAAAACCCTACACATGATTCAACAATTGTGTGTAGTGCACATCATTTGCATCATATCCCCCATGATCCTTGATCCCATTCAAGTTGATCTTTAGGACATATCCTACCCCATAGGAAGGACCATTATCTTTACAACATAGAAACAAACATTCAAATCAACTCAATTCAAACAATATTCAAACACATTAGAGAAAGATGCCAAATCATCTTAAGCGAGATAGAATCTCCACCCCACATCAATACAATCAATACCGTAGGAACTTTGCCTTAAGGGAGATAGAGGCGTACCTCGTCGATCCATATCCGAGTACTTGAGCCCTTCTCTTAAGACGATGCAAAGACTATTTTCCTACAATTTGTGGCGGTTACATCTCCCTTAAAATGAAGACTCATCTCTTCTTCTAAAATCAATCAATCAACTACCCTAAGCCCGTAGGAACTTTGACCACAATCAAAGAATTCCTCATACCCTTTAGGGGAACTACAGATACTCTGATTCCACTCCCGTAAGGATATGTAGGCATAAGATGCGATATCTTATCGACTACACTTAGAAATAAACCACTAGGTCTTTAACCTTAAGTAGATAAACACATAGTAAATAAACAAAATAAAACAAGAGGTTCCTGTAGGATACTACATAAACTTAAGATGCTAGTACCTTCCCTAAGTTTATCCAACCCCCGAACCTATAACTCTCTAAACCTTGCATTTGCATTGCATTGTGGGAATTTCGATCTTTATCCCTTCCTTTGGACAAATCACAGTTCGGTTGCAAATGAATTAAAGATTCAAACTAATCAATAGTTTGGTATCCGAATTTCACCGCGACACTTGGAGTAAGAAATTATCAGTGGATATAACCGCTGATCTAAATTTGATGTAGATCATAATTAAGTCAGATGTGTTGGCTCGAATTTCGGCTTATGTAGCTAAAAACAAAATGATGGTGAGAAAATTACACAGGAATGGGGGGTTGAATTGTATATGTCCAAATAACTCTTTTCACTAACTATTCTAGAACAGCCAATTTTGAACCATGTTCAGAGTCTGATATCAGAGTAAGTAATAGCAGTGAAAAGTTTACTTCTTTTTCTTAACCATGTTTCACTACCTAAGATGTCAAATTGCATTTCTAATCCAAGTAAGAGGTTAAATCAGACAAGAGTCTAACTTCAGAGTTTGTTGCACATTGGAATGTAATAGCATAAGTAAATAAAGAGACATACGATATATCATGGTTCCTCTCAACTTGAGACTAGTCCAGTCCCCTTGCAACAAAAGAGCTTTTAACTATAATCAATCAGATTATAATGGCTTAAGTCAGTACCTCATGACTTTCTGCTCAATCAAACTAGAATGAGACTTTTGCTCAAGCCCTCAAGCAAGATACTTCCTTGCCTAAATAACTTGTTCAAGACTTCCTGCTCAATCTATCAAGAATGAGACTTCCTTATTTAAATCATAGGTTCAAGACTTCCTCGCTCCTTCAAGCATGAGACGTTAATGCTTAATCACACTTAACGAGACTTTTTTGCTCTGCCTTCAAGCAGGATACTTCAATGCTCAATCACACTGATCGATACTTCCTTGCTCTACCTTCAAGCATGAGACTTCAATCCTCAATTATCAAAAGGAGACTTAAGGTAAGCACAGAGGCTAGAGTCTTCAGATTCTCTTAACAGAGGAATCTAGTATTAACCTTGTGTTTAAATGTGTGCTTCTTAGTTAAGGAGATACACAAAGGTCTACACTCTGGAGAAGAATATAAATTATTTGCTCCTGAGTGTTGAAGAATGAAGTTTTCATTCTTCTTCTCTCCTTGCACAAATTTCGTTCTTGTTGTGCCTTTCTGTTTTGTTGATCTTCTTGATCATATCCACATATTCTTTCTTCAAGTCATATGTGAAAATTCTCCACTCTACTCTTACACACTTAACTCTTCTGGTTATATTTATTTTTTGAGTGTGTTTTTCTCACCTGTGCTTTTGTGAAACATATTCTCTCCCTCTCAACCCATTTACGTGAATTGGTATCACAACCTTGTGAACACAGTCACGTATTCTTCAACCCACATTCATTCATCGAGAGATCTCTTTGAATATTTTCAATCTTCTTTAAATAGATGTTAAGAATAGATCCGTTGAAGATTATCATTACCTATGGTACAACTAGTCGTTGAAGGTCTTTAGCTAGAGTACATAAAGTGAGCTATAGACTCTCGGCTAGCATAAAGACGTTGAGAGAGTATCTGAAAAATTATAAAAACATCGACAAACTGTAAAAACTAAACTCTGTATTATTGTGAAAAGTAAACTCTCTGAGATTGAAAAAATAAATGTCATGTTTTACTACGGTTGGTAGAAATAACTGTGATGGAGAGTATTTTAATTTTAGTATAAATATAAAAATAAAGAGGACACATTCTTTTTTGTAAAGAAAAAATGAAAATTTTTCTTGTTGCGAATCAAAATGTGTATCCCTTAGTCTATCCCCACAGTTGTTAGTATGGACCATGGTGAAAAATATTTTAATTTTAGTATAAATATAAAAATTAAGAGGACATGTTTTTTTAATGAAAAAATAAAAAATTGTTAGTGTTACAATTTGAAATATATATTTCTTAATCTATCATTAAATTTTTAGTATGAACCGTAGTTAAATATATTTTAATAAATAAGAATTATTAATTCGGTTGATTAAATGACCAAATTATAAAATGTTATGAAAGAAACTTTGCATAACGTTTCCAAGGATGTCGGTTGGTGACTTATCCATTAGTAATTAACGTCTAAGTAAAAGATGAGGTTTTTAAAAATATCCTATAAATTCTTACTATCATTCCATAATGATAAATCATACCATGAAAACTCTATGGTTAGATGCACTCCTCTGAGAGCCCTTTCGAGATAAGTGACTTTAAAATCAAATCCAAGAGATGTGCGAAAGAAGACAAATATGCTAAAAAAAAATTACAGTAATTTTTTTCTCAATAATTATACGAGAGAAAGAAAAAAAATATCAAAAGAGAAGTATAAAAAGTTGAAGTTTATTTAGTAAATTAATATAATTAAAAGTGAAAGGATGGTTGAAAAATATCAAGACGCTCTCTCCTCTATCAATATTATGCACGACAACTCCTTCATCTCGATCAGTCATCAATTAATAGATTCAATTATATGTAAGTTTCTCATTTTCCTTCTTTGTCATTTTCTTTCTCTGTCATTTTCCAACTTTCTTTTCTTAATTATTTTCATTTCAGACAAATAATCAAGGTCGGTTGTTAGCATTTAGTCTTAATCAACCATCTAATTTATTTGGAGAAATTAATACAATTATAAAAATAATAGCAATTGGCCAACAACAACAACATCAAGTGGACCCCAAACAAACTTACAATAATTTCCTGGAAAGAAGGTATTGAAAAAGACAATTAACCCCAACACACGGCACCGTTACCTTACCTCACCTTTGGTTGTACCAAAACCAAAAAAGGAAGATGAAAGTAACGTGTTCATTAACGTCCATCGTTATTCTAGGGTCCCACGTTAACACTTGAAACGTTAATGACTCGGTCTGATCAGCAAACACCATCTATCTTTTATCAAAACTCAAAAAATTTTATTTCTTTCTCTCTCTTCTTTTTCTCTCTCCTCACGAAAGTTGGTGGAAAAAAAAACCATTACCATACCCAACCCCACCTTTGTCTCCTTCCTCTTTTACTATATATCTCCTTCCATAACCAATCCATTTTTCTCCATTCATATTTTCTTCATTTCTATTGTTTCTTCCTAGTTTTTCTATCAACACCCCCTTCTTCTCTTCCTTGTCTTCTCAAAGGAAGAAGAAGAAACAATACAGAGAAGAATATAATATAATTATTACAACATAATCGCTAGTTCGTAGTTTTGATTAATTATTCAGATCTAAATGCTCATACCTTTTTTCTTCTTCTTCATTTCCTCTTAAATTTTGAAATTTTTTTACCATTCACCATGGGAACGGAAATTTTGCTACCACGGGATTGTTTGCATGAACGAATCAGAGTTCCTCCGACGAGTTTTTTCCGGCGAAGAACTTATGGAAATTGCCATAATCAATATAACAATTATGGTAATAATTTTTATGGCGTAAAAAACTCCGGGAGGATTAACGTTAACCGGAGACCGGTTAATCGACCGGAGCAGAGAAAACGGGTTGCGGTGCCGGAGAGAAGACCTAGTTACGATGATTTGAAGGTGACGACGGAGAGAAGACCTAGCTACGATGATTTGAAGATGGCGAAAGGTAGTGAATTGGTGATGGAGAAGGTGATGATTCTCAGAAGAGGCGAATCGCTTGATTCGAAGATGAACAAAGAGGGTTTGAAGAAGAAAGGTGATAATTTGGTTGTCATCGGAACACAGAGACTCGGACCCGACCCGAATATGGTTCCTACACAGATACGGATCGTTGATTTCAAGACCGGTTGCGAAGTTTACGCCGGATCCGCGTTCTCGATGTCTCCGTCGCCGAGCGCTCTTCCAATTCCGTCTTTTCAAAGTAAGTTTTCGCCGGTGGCCGTCGACGACTCCGCAACGCGGGATCTGAGACGTCTCCTTCGTATTGCATGAATCTGAAATGGGTCATTTCCGGGTTTCGGGTCATATCCATAGCCACGTCTACTTTTCATCTTCTCTTCCTTTTTGTGTCTCTCTCTCGCCTTAATCTAGAATCTTCTTATTACCCGTTACCTCCCTATTCCATTTTTAAAATTCTAACTCAACCGTGATTTTTTTAAACGGAAAGGTTGAATTGAAAAATGGGGAAAACTCGGGGCGAAAATGTTAATTAAAAAAGTTTGGAGTAGTGTGATTGGGAGTTTATTATGTAAGATCTTGTTAATTAATGGGTTGTTTAAGGGTAAAATTTAGGTTGTAATATCAAATTAGAATTGGGAAAAAAATAAAATAAAAAATAAAAAAGAAGAAAGGATGGAAGGAAGACGGGGGTTGATTTGTAAATTCCGGAAGTGTATGGTGCGTTTTGAAGTGAAAAATGGTGTCTGCAAAATCTTGTAGGTTTGCACCCTTTTGTATTGTAAAGTTATAAATATTAAATAGGGAGATTTGGGCAGATTCAGATTGTATCTTGTTTTAATGCTCTTCATGAAATAAACTGGAAGCAAAACATAACTTTATTTTAGAACAAATACATAAATTATTAAAACGATTAATGGTTTTTTTTGCTTTTTTATGATTACTATTAAGTAAATAAAATCAAACAATAAATTATGGCTACAACGAAAAGAAATAGATATGGTGTTTTGGCTAAGAATTAGGACAGGGTGATGCTGTGGTGGTCGTGGAGAATTGAAGAGAGATGTAAAAATATCCTTAATTTTATGTGTGGTAGTGTTTGCTGAAGATGACGTTGAAGAGTGTGTGGAGCTGTGAAGAGTAAGGCCATAAATTTCTTGTTGTATTCATCATTCATTCATCCAATCCAAGCATTTGGCCAAAATCAAAGTTTTCTGAAATGAGTTGGATTCCAAAATTCATTGAAATAGGACAAACTTTGTAGGATATGAGTCAAGTTTCTTATGAACTAAATCAATCTATTAGTGTATCATGTTTTTGGGTAAACAAAATTGATTTTGATATAATTTATAATAAATTTTAAGTTTTAGTTGAATGTAAGTTGATTTATGTTTGGATATAATAATGTAGAATTGATTTTTTCATTTCTATGTTATTTGGATAATTTTGAAAAAATTGTTTTTGAATGTAAGTTTCTTTTCGTTGTAGCCATAATTTATTGCTTGATTTTATTTACTTAATAGTAATCATAAAAAATTCAAAAACCATTAATCGTTTTAATAATTTATGTACTTGTTCTAAAATAAAGTTTTGTTTTGCTTCCAATTTATTTCTTGAAGAGAATTAAAACAAGATACAATCTGAATCTGCCCAAATCTCCCTATTTAATATTTATAACTTTATAATACAAAAGGGTACAGACCTACAAGATTTTGCTGACACCATTTTTCACTTCAAAACGCACCATACACTTCTGGAATTTACAAATCAACCCCCGTCTTCCTCCCATCCTTTCTTCTTTTTTATTTTTTAAATTTTTTTTCCCAATTCTAATTTGATATTACAACCTAAATTTTACCCTTAAACAACCCATTAATTAACAAGATTTTACATAATAAACTCCCAACCACACTACTCCAAACTTTTTTAATTAACATTTCCGCCCTGAGTTTTTCCCTATTTTTGAATTCAACCCTTCCGTTTAAAAAAATCACGGTTGAGTTAGAATTTTAAAAATGGAATAGGGACGTAACGGGTAATAAGAAGATTCTAGATTAAGGTGAGAGAGAGAGACACAAAAAGGAAGAGAAGATGAAAAGTCGACGTGGCTATGGATATGATCCAAAACCCGAAAATGACTCATTTCAGATTCATGCAATACGGAGGAGACGTCTCAGATCCCGCGTTGCGGAGTCGTCGACGGCCATCGACAAAAACTTTTTCTGAAAAGACGGAATTTGAAGAGCGCTCGACGACAGAGACATCGAGAACGTGAATCCGGCGTAAACTTCGCAACCGGTCTTGAAATCAATGATCCGGGTCTGTTTAGGAACCATATTCGAGTCGGTTCCGAGTCTCTGTGTTCCGATGACAACTAAATCGTCACCTTCCTTCTCAAACCCTCTTTGTTCATCTTCGAATCAAGCGATTCGCCTCTCCTGAGAATCATCACCTTCTCCATCACCAATTCACTACCTTTCGCCATCTTCAAATCATCGTAGCTAGGTCTTCTCTCCGTCGTTACTTTCAAATCACCGTAACTAGGTCTTCTCTCCAGCACCGCAACCCGTTTTCTCTGCTCCGGTCGATTAACCGGTCTCCAGTTAACGTTAATCCTCCCGGAGTTTGTTACGCCATAAAAACTATTACCATAATGGTTATATTGATTATGGAAATTTCCGTAAGTTCTTCGCCGGGAAAAACTCGTCGGAGGAACTCTGATTCGTTCATGCAAACAATCATGTGGTAGTAAAATTTCCGTTCCCATGGTGAATGGTAAAATTTCAAAATTTAAGAGGAAGTGAACCATCATACAAAAGTACTCAAACCATCATACAAAATAATATAGTTAATTAGCTATTGAAAAAACCAAATTTCTCAAACCTGTAAGTGATGTACATTGCTAATGTGCAACCAATTGAACTAAATCTATGCTTCAAAAATAAATAAATAAATTGGAAGGGTTGCAACCTGTTGCATCAAATTATTATTTAATACTAAACGCTGAAGAACATGGGTGTAACCTATTGCCCTATTGTTAGAAAATAATAAATAATAAAATATTGGCGCACACGGAAGCACATCCATAAAAAAAGAAAAAGAAGCAAAAATTTCAACAAAAATTCATAAAATCATAAATTTGTTGGTGTACAAGATGAAGAATGTGAAGAACAAAGAAGAAAGATAAGAGAATAACAAACTTTCACTATTCGTACAAAACGGTTACGAAATAGTTACTCCATTACACTCGTTATTTGCATTACTTTGCTGCTCAGGGTGTGTGTGTGTGTGTGTAACTATTGACAGATTGACAGCTACACTAGTGTGTGTGTGTGTGTGTGTGTATATATATATATATATATATATATATATATATATATATATATATATATATATATATATATATATATATATATATATATATATATATATATATATATATATATATATATATATATATATATATATATATATATATATATATATATATATATATATATATATATATATATATATATATATATATATATATATATATATATATATATATATATATATATATATATATATATATATATATATATATATATATATATATATATATATATATATATATATATATATATATATATATATATATATATATATATATATATATATAGACACACACAAACAAAAGTGTCACGTAGGCTAAATAATAAAATACTAAATTACCCTTCATTATTATCCCTTAATTCAGGATTTAATTAATCAAAACTAACAACACTAATTTCATCCCTCAAATGGAGAAATTGTTAAGTCTTGATCGCCTCTGTCAGAACATCTGTTAGCTGCTTTTGGATGTTACAATGCACAACTTCTAGCACTTCATTTTGAACTTGATTTCTTAGAAAATGATATTTTGTCTCAGTATGTTTGCTTCTCGCATTTTGCACTACGTTCTTAGCAAGATTGATTGCATACTTGTTATCAATTGAATTTCTGTTATGCAGATATCAGATGTCCTAAGAGATGTCGAGACACTGATATCTATTAAATACACAAGGACCAAGGTATACAAAGTTAAAAGTACATAAAATAAACAAGACAAAGAAAGTTGTTAACCCAGTTCGGTGCAATATCACCTACATCTGAAAGCTACCAAACCAGAAAGGAAATTCACTATCAGTAGTATTAATTCAGAGCTAAACAACCCAGTTTACAACTTCTCACTTAATACCTACCTAGTGCAACTTCTACCTAAGACACTCCTAGGTATGAAAAACCCATTTCACTTCCTACCAGTCACCACAATGACAAAGTTACAACTCTTTCAATGTTTTTAGAAAATACAATCCAAAAGACACACAATTACTCAATGCTTAAAAGCTTAGGAGTGATTGACAAAACATACAACTCAATAGAGACAGTCATGTTCAAACATCTAAGTAATGAATGAATGGCTCACAAAACAATCTACCTCAATGTATAAAGGACACATGAATGACACAGTACAACAGAAGTATCCTAAAAGAAACTCAAACCTTAAACCCTTATTTGCACACATGGTTGATTCAATGAATAATCCACACCAATTAGGTTTAACAAGTCTCCTTTTATAGCCTTGTGCGGAATGAGCTTGGACTCTTCCCATTTTGTTCAGTTTTAACCTACTACTGAATCTTCTCCAAAACGTCTCATAATTTAATGTAGCATTTTGTGTACAGCTGGAGATACAAAACTTTATTCCTAATAACATCATCTTGACCTGCGTAAATTACTGAGATAAATCCAAAAGAAATAACACAGAATTAAAACAAAACAAATTTGTCAAGATTTTAAAATAATCAGAACAGATGTACTGGTAGAACATCTTCCAACATCTGTCAGGACATCTGCTTTCAAGGTGAGCTGAGCAGCATGTTACAACATCACACATGACGACCTGTAGGGAGCCATGCTTTAGAAAAATTGTTGTCAATCCATAAACCATGGAACCTTTAATCTCCCCCTTTGGAAAATTTTGGCTAAAACACCTTTTGCACAATAAATCCAGGAGACTGTCTATGTACATGAGAAAGATAACTTGCATTTTCAGGAATATCTATAACACTCCCCCTAGACCAAGAACTGGTCCTTGTCACTGAGGAATAAATCTCCCTCTCAATTTGAAAGAAGTAACTTTTCCAAAGAAAAAGAAAACCAACTTAAACACAAGCTTGAACTAAACTAGTTCAAGTCATTAGAAACACATATGGCAGAAGCCACAGTCATTACAAACATATATGTTAAAAGTAACCAAAACATATCCCAAAACATGTCCAGAAAGACAGAACATCTGAGGACATTATAGACCCAACATACCCTTTGGTAAATTTTGACTAAAACAACCGTAGCACACATCAGAGGTACACACAGCGGAAGCAAAATATAAACAAAGAAACCCAAGCACAATGTTGTCACACCAAAAAGAACACCAGACAGCATAATGTCAAGACACTAGGTCTGACATCACAAACCAACACAAGCTACATGAGAGCATGTAAGCTTTGTACAAACTGCAACCTTACAACTACAGATCAAACAAGTACACAACTCCCCTGTCATATAAAACCAGTACTTCCCCTGAAGGGGAAAACCCAAATCACAAGAAAACCAGACTTGAACTGTTACTCCTACAGAAAACCCATTTAACAATGGTTGGGAAAGATATATAATCATGTTGGCCCAGGAGTTGTTATGTAGAGTGTCGTTGTATATATGATACTTACAATCACGACCCAGTAACCGTTGTAATAAACTGGAAAGTGCGCGCCCTATCACAACGGGTTTTCCAAAAGACCGTTGTGATAAAGTATTTTTTTACTACTCAGTGCAAGAGATATTATAACGGATATGATATATAACCGCTGTTAAATTGTATGCAGAATTAACAAATAATATCCTACTTTTAAAATTAATCTCATTTTTTAACCAACATTATTGTTCACCATATCACAGCAGAAAATACAACTCACATTTGTGATAAAGTTATCATAATAATATTAATTGTATCATATTCATAATATCAAATAACTGTATCATATTCAATACACCATAACATTAAACATTACACCATCAGTCAACATACAAACCTAATCAACTATAACTTATTTCGTCATTGTTGTTACAACAAATGCAATGAATGCTACAAATAAAAAAATCCAGGTAATCTTCAACTGTTTCTTCAGGATCTTCACCTTTTCTTCAGGATCTTCACCTTCAACTTCAATTCGTCCTCCTTGTCTTTTTATGTGTTAACCATCTCCTTCTTTACTAGTGAAGAAATTATTTGTTTTGCCCTAGGATCCATCTCCTTATCCAACCAAGCAAAATGAGAGCATTTTTTGTATCCTTGAATCTTATACATCCCACAACCATAGAAACGGCGGCCTGGGTTTGAATCGGTCTATGTCGTCATCAACGGAGCGTTGAGGCCACACTTGCATACGTACCTTGAACAATTTGAGGACCTGCTTCCATGGCTACAACTGAATGCTGAGACATTTTAATGGAAGGATTTGATGGAAACTTGCAGAAACTGGGGAAAAGAAGACGAAAAACAATTCAAAAGGATCAAGAACGCAAGATATAATAAACAAAAACAACAACATTAATGTTTCATACACGCTTTTTTAAATTAATCGTGGATGTCGAATAAATTATGAAGTTCATCTAATTTACGAAGCTATGAAGAAAAAGTACAAGGTGAATGAAGTTAACACGATAACTACATACTTCTTGTATTTCTCTTCATAGCTATATAAACCATATGTATCAACAACAACCATATTAATCAACAACATACAGTAACACAAGATATTATGTAATGTTTCAAGATAAGGTGAATAAAGTTAACACAATAGCTTCACACTTCTTGTATTTCTCTTCATAGCTACATAAACCATATGTATTTCTCTTGTTAAGGTGGTGAAGACGAATCTGAAAAAATGAGAACATTAACCAAATGAAAAAATGAGAACCCATTTTTAACAAGAAACATAAACAAAATCGAAGCATAAGTTTAATGAACGAACCTCAAGTTATTGATAAGTCAAGACGAATCTGAAGACGTATCTGAAGGTTGAAGTATGTTTAAAAGGTGACATGGATGTTAGGGTTATGTTATGAGAGAGAAAAGTGAAGCTACGTTAGGGTTTTCTTTTTTTAGAGAAATGGTTGTTATGTACTGAACTATAGATACTTTCGCTTATATACTAAAAACTATCACTTTTCATCGCGGTTAGAAAGAAAAACCGTGATGCAAATTTCAAATTTTACAACGGTTGTATTGTAAAATCGTGGTTAAATAACTTTCAAAATTTACAACGATTGGTTTACTTAACCGATGTAAAATCATTTACAATTTACTTTTTAAATAATGGACTTAAGCGACACACACTTAATGTACTATAAAAAATGGAAAAAATGTAGTTGCTGGGAATCGAAGCTTGCTACACATCATTTATTACTACGACTTTTCAACACAACCGTCATTAAATTACTATTTATAAATCCAAGGTGCAAAAATTTTAACTTATACAATGGTGTATATGAATCAGTTGTAAACTAGGTGTTGTTGTTTGCGCGCTTTGTAGTAGTGTATCCAAGTTCACACATTCCTCTCAAGGGAAAACCAAAAAACACTAGAAAAGCACAAACAGCACAAGCACAAAAACAACACCAAACAAAATCAGCAGCTAACTCCCCCTGAATTACATAGATTAGAAAAAGCACAGCTACACAAAA